ACACACACACACACACACACACACACACACAGGCACACATAAAATATTTTACTTATGTTTTAGTTTAGGAGAGTTTGATTTGACGTTACTTTCTATTCACTCTGCCCAAATACATAAAATTGCAAATGGTTATCTTATTATCTTTCTATATTGAAAACTAAAGTGTGTACAGTGTTGAATAAAATTTAAAAGAGTATTTCTAAAAACATTTTTAACAGCTGAGAAGAAGCTTGGATGCCTAATCACATATTTCTGTTAAGAGTCATAATAAATTTGAATTTAAAAAGACATTGCAAATGTCAGTGTCCTAGATATAAATATTTTTACTAAAAATGCAAACACCAATATGCAAATGAAGTCTGATATTGTAGCCCTTCTTGTAATCGATATGTTTCAAGATTAGGAGGAGCATAAAGAATGTCATTTGGGCTAAATATTTCTACAAATATTACTGTAAAGAATTTTTGCTTACTGACTCATATATAAGCAGACTTGACAGTTTATGGAACATTTCCCATGTAGGTATATTTGGATTTTTTTTGAGGAAAGAGTTACAACTTGGTCAGCTGTTTATCATGGTAGATTTTATGAAAACCCAGAAACACTATAATGGTTTCATGTCCCTAGAGGTTCATTGTAATCCTGTACTGCTTTTTGCTGCTAAGATTTTCCATCTGTGTTACTTCTGTCTCTTAACACTTTCCATATAGGGCATTTCTAAATTCCACATTCCTAATTTCTTGTCTTTTGCCTTCTTTTCTTGGTGTAAAGATAATGGGCTACAAAATCACACATCCCACTTAATGTGAGGAAAATTCTAGTCAGCATCCTTTATTTTAAAAGTTTCAGACAACACTGAACAGATTACTTGCTCATCTGTGTTTTAGAAATTATACACACCAGACTTTAGACAATTTATTCAAATGAAACTAGTTAGAGGGATGTATTCCCTTCCTTGCTATGTGCGGAGCAGCATAACACCCAAAAACCAGAAACCACAACACCCAGAAACCAAATGCATGATGCCCACTCTAAAGCCTTCCACAGAGCAGCGGAGGAAAGTCTGTCCCCTGCATATGATGACCAGGTTCCTTTCCTCTCTGAGTTCATAATGGCCTGGTCCTGGCTTACAGGTTATAGAAATGGGAAATGTGTAACAATGATAAAGGCCATGAATGTTCAGATTGCTGTGTGTGTGTATATATATATACACGTCCCCACGAGCAAATTTTTATAAATGAAAAATACACACAAAAAATACAAATCATTTTCACTTCATTCTTTGTCATCTAGGCACATTAATGGGTTTTGTTTAGAAGAAAGCCTGTTAAGTTGTGATTCTGCCCAGAAGCATGGGTCATGTTATATAAAGCATTCCGTTGTTAACTGTGTAGTTCTGTTATAAAATCACTGGCCTTTTCCTTTTCCCCTTCTGAGACATGTTTTCTAAAGCTTCTTTTATTGAACCCTGCTAAGAAAATTTACAGATTACATCCCCCAAATAAGGGGACACTATTGTTTTCATCCTTAGTTGTACGTGAATTTGAGCCATGCTGTTCAGTAGTGAGTGAAAACTGAAAAACCTTTAGCTGTGTTTTGTATCATTCTTGTGGCCATCTCTGAATTATGCCATGTTTAAGAATTTATAGCTGCCCTTCCCAGGTTGGAACCTGTCAATTTTTATTAAGTAGTGGATAGGAGATCTAGGATGACTACTGCTTCACAGTGAGTCTCCTAGAACGGAATAAGATGGCAGAATATTCTTGGGCTTTGAATATACTTTGGACATCTTCCTAAAATCAGCTGTACTTGTCATAAAGCCTTCCCCCAAATGCTTGGCCACATGATGTTTTTGCATATGCTGTTTGTCTACTTGGATTATCACCTTTCCATTTCATTCTAGGAGATGACTTTTCTTGTTTTTAGCTTCCTGGCCATCTCCTAGAAAGGGCATAATTCATTACCCCCTAAATTCAGTGTCTGTAGAATATTTATGTGCCAGATTCTGTACAAGGCATTAAGAACTCAAAGATGAGTTTCTCTTTTAACTTTCTAGCCTTTAAGCTTGTAGTGTCGGAGAGTCAAGCAAAAATTCAGCAATGCAACTAGTGTTATGTATAAGATAATGGATGTAGAGATGGAAGATGTTTATGTAACGTTTTGATCATTCATGTGCAGTGCGTTATAGTTTGTGTAACTATTCTAACTAGACTCTGCTTCTCAAGGGCAGGAGCTGTGTTTTGCTCATTTTTGGGTCACCAGGTGCTGGTGCTGGCTGGCTGTTACAAATCCAGAGAAGAGAGATGAGGTCCCTATGTTAAGGAACTTTTCCCCTGGTGAAGGAGATGACTCATGCTCAGACTCAAGAAAGGATGATGGGGAGCAAAGAGGAAGGACGTTATTAATCTGGGGGCAAAACTTTATGTGAAAACTAGGCAAAGTGTTTACAGTGGCATGTGAAGGCAAATAAGATGGAGTCCAAGGCAAGATGCAGCTTAGGCTATATGGTACTGTTTCATATTAAAGGCCGTAGAATGCATGGAGAGAATTTGAAGCTGAGTGCCACGATGAATATTTTAGAAAGGTGCTTTGCTAATTGTCCAGAGCAAAGGGCATTTAATATGATACTTGCATTTTTCTAGGTGAGAGAGGATTACCTGAAATGAAGCAGTCACCGAGCTGTGGAGGGGGTAAACTTGGATGTGAGTTGTGATGGGGAGCCAGAATTGCCAGGCTTTTGACTTGGGCAAGTAGCTGTGCTCATCGTTCACAGAAAATACAGGATTCTGTGATTCTTCACACTCTAATCATTTTCTTCTACTCTCTGCTGGCAGCCTTGGTTACTCATACCTTGGTGAGGCCTAGGAGCACAAGGAAACTGCCTGTGCCTTGCAGCTCCCATGCTGGAGGCCTGCACATTCCAGCCATAGTGACTCCCATAGCTCTCGCAGAAGCTCTAGCAAGCACCTTGCCCTCCCTGCCCCAGGAGGACTGCAAAGTCCTTGAGAAGTAGAGGTACTTTGTACATCAAAAGCCATTGAGAGCTTCTTTCTCATCTGTCTTTGCCCAAGGCCAGTGTTCTGCTTGCTCATTATGTGGTCCAAAGATAAGCCGCACCTCATTCCTAGAATGGATTGTTTTTCTCATCTCAGTTATTGTTTGGCACCTGAGGAATCCAGCCAAGACTGTTTTGTTCCAGTTAATACAATAAAAGCTGCTGTAACCTGCTCCATTGCCAATGCCAGTTGCCTGGATACATGTGGCTATTCAAATCAACCACCCTCATGGGCTGAGCTTGGTGATCCCTCATTGTCACATTGCATCTGAGTAATAGCATAAAAAATATATGAGGGCTTTAAGATAGATTTGATGCAACTCATTCTTTTCAACATTGTGGATGATGAAAATTTCATACAGTGAAATTTCAGCAAATGAAGACCGAGGTGTTTTTATTTCGCGCTGGGCAAATACCCAGTAGATCCCCCAAATGTAGGGCATCTGGTAAATTATAATAATGAAGATGGCTTAGGTCCAAGAGAGGAGATAGACCCTCCTCTTTCTCTGGAGACTTGCATACAGTGTTGCACAGCGGGAAAGCAAGGTTGGGAGCAAGGGCTTCCGTGTCATTAACAGTGAGGTCCACAGGCCTGCTTCATGTACTTAGCCAGCAAAGGGCAGTGGGAATGGAGGTCTTCATTGCCTTCAACTCAAGTGGGCAGGAACAAGGAGGAGTTGGAGAGGCCAGAGTCCCTGGGCCAGACAATTCATCTCACCTAGGTGTAAGGTCCATTGTAAAGACATAACTTGGTTTATGCTTTCAGAGTCTAATGTGGAATTTGAACGCCCAGTGAACTTGACTGCTACTACTTCTGAAGCTTGTTTTGGACACACTGAGTTTTGAAGTATTAATTTTCATTAAGGACCATTGAAGAGGGTAGGCAAGTTGGATATTACAAAGGAGAGGGTGTGGTACACAGGTTAAAATGTAGGTAAGTGAAAAGGTGGAGTTTCTTGAGAAAATTCAGACAGTTTGAAGGAAAGAGCAGATTTATTTATTTGTTTGTACCAGGGATCAAACTTGGAACCTTGCACTTTTGAGGCAGGAGTGGTGCCACTGAGCTAAATCCCCAGCCCAGAAGCACATTTTAGAAAATTGTAGTATGGGGATCCAAACAAGGCCTTTGTATTGAGAGCTACATCCCTATCCTTTTTTATTTTTTATTTTGAGACATTGTCTCACTAAATTACTAAGTTGCCCTGGCAGGGCTTGAATTCAAGATTCTCCTGTCTCAGCCTCTCAGAGTTCTGGGATTTCAGACATGCCATCATGACTGGCTTCTGGATAGAGATTTTTTTTTTTTTTTTTTTTTTTTTTTTTTTTTTTTTTGCTACTGGGGATTGAACTCGGGTCCTTGTGCTTGCAAGGCAGGCCACCAAACTGCTGAGCTAAATCCCCAGCCCTTGGATAGAGATCTTATAGTAGCCTTACTGCCGATTTTGGCTGTTCTTCTGAACAGTTGTTTTTGGGCTATAATTCATAAATAATTTTCTCCTGATTAGTCTATGACATCATAAGTTTGAAACGGCAAGAATTCTCTATGAAACACTGGTTTCCAACCCTATATTTGATTCATTTCAAGACGAACAGGACATACTCTAAGCAGAAATTTAGAACTATAGTGAGCACCACAGTCTGTGGGATTTCTTGCTACGAGTCCAAAAAAGTATTATTCCTGGCTGAAGTTTGCATAGTACTGTAAGGCAGCTAAGTTATCCTAATAATCTCATGGACCAATATTCATAGCTTATCTGGGTCTTATTAAATCTTTTATCCAAACAACTTTTAAATTTGCAGGTCATAGTAGCCATGTTGTTTTAGGATAAAATAAAATCTTGAAATGAGCATGTCATTTTGTGTTAGCACCTTTCAAGTGGCCACATTTTTTTGGAATGCTTCCATAAGGAGAAATTTAACAGAATTATGCAGGGGATGTGCTTAGTTCTAGTTTAAAGCAATATAGAGATTTCAGAGGATCATATACTTGTCAACTGTCAAAATATAGGACTAAATTTTCCTTAAGAGGAGAGAAAATATCCAAATAAACCGTAGATTATAAATTCATGAGAATGCATCCAAATACTCTCTACTTGAAATTCATGCATCTTTCCCATGTAAAAAGAAATCACCAGCATTTCAGGCCAATCTGTGCTGGAGAGTAAAATCACCTAAGATTTACTGGTTATTCTCTCAGTTAAAAGACAAAAAATCACCTTCCTTTGCTAACCTGCTTAAGCCCTTCTTTTGCCACTTCAAGATGATGGCACCTGTGGGGGTAGAGAGGTTGCAGAAAGGGTAAAATTGGTTAGGATCTGAAGAAGCCTGTGATTTGCTATTGATTTGATGGAAACCCAGCCATATGTACTTGGCAGATTATTTTTCCTGTTTTCAAAAATATTGTATAGAAAGTGGTTATGGTGGTGATAATCTTGTTTTTAAACCAGCGGATGAGGTGTAGGAATGGGGAGGATGGACATTGAAAACTCAATCGCGAGTCTTCTAGATGGGAAAACAACAACACTCACTCAACCAAAAACTGAGGATCAAAGCCAGGAACATGAAACAGAGCAAGCTGAGGGGTCTGTGGAGAAGGGTTCCAAAAACAGAAGGGAATCAAAGGCTCCTACTCTATGGAACTCTTTCAAGGGAGGTTTTAAGAATTAAACAGTCTTCTGTTTGGAAGCAGGGTAGTAAGTGAAGGGCTCAGAGATGAATGCTTGCATCACATTTCTTTTGTTTCAGTTTTTGGCAATAGGCATCTGTGACGTGTTCACATTTATTGTGTGTGTGTTGGGGGGTACTGGACATTGAACAACGGACGTTTGCACTAAGCCACACCCTAAGTTGTTTTAAAATTTTATTTTGAGACCAGGTCATACTAAGTGGATAACTTGTCCATGCAGAGTTCAAACTTGCTTGTGATCCTGCCTCTGGTTCCCCAGAGAGTTGGGATTATAGGCATGTGCCACCATGCTGAACTCTGTTCCTTTGTATCAGGAGTTTAGTACATGTTTATTGAATGACAACAAACAAGTGCCTCTGAATTCTGGCCTCTTCTCAAAACATCTGTGAATTTAGGTCATTTTGTTGGGGGGGGTGGCTGGGTTTTTATTGAGCACCAATGAGCCTTGTATTCCTGGGGTTTAGGGGGAAAGCTAATTACAGAGAGACAGTAAATGGATGTAGCTTAGACAGTGGTTAGTGTTATGAAGAAAAGTAAGTTGGGGAAAGAGGGTAGAGCTATATGCCTGGTAGAATAGGCTGCTGCTTTTTAAGAAAATGTTTCCGGAAGCCCTCTGATGGGCACACTTTTGAATTTAATCAGTCAACCATGCAGGTACAGGATTTCTGCAGAGTTTCAGGTGTGTTCAGAACTCTGGCTGAAAATGGAGAAGTAGGAGGTGTGCAGTATTGTACGCTGCAATAAGGACTTAGGTTTTTATTCCAAATGAGAAGGGGCCCTATTGGGTCATGTTGAGCAGAATGATATGTTCTAATTTATTTCGTTTCTACTTGTTTCAAAGTCAAATCATGTGCTTCATTCAAAAAATGTGTACAGTTACTGTTATAGTTCACTGTGCAAAGAAAATGACCCACATTTCACATGTTTTCCATTAGGGAGTCTGGGCTCAATTCCTTGTACTGTAGCTTGCGTCTTTGCCCTGTTCCAGGAAACTCCATCGCAGCTCAAGGCTGACATCTAGTGACTATTTTCATAAATATTTACACTAGGTAGGGTACTTAGTATGTATAGTTCTCTTGATTAGGAACTGAGTGCTCATTTTAACAGAAAATCACACCAATGATCACAATTTTACTAGGAGGCGACTACAGCGAATTTGCCTTATTCTAATTTGCCCATATTTATGTATTACTTTCTTTAGCATATAGCTGCTACTGTTTGTGGTGCCAAAAGATGGGACATCAAAATGATGGACTGTAAGGTAGAGAAGAGTAAGTCAGCACTGGTTCAGATCACCTAGGGGACACTGCTCTGGCTGTAGGGGTAGCCCTCAAAAGGTGGTCTGTGACTTGTTGATGTTATTTAAGACTGTGTGTACACATGCACAACTGAATGTGGGCTTCAGTAAAGTTGTCGGATGTGTGAAGGGAAACTGACTGAAGAATAGGCCTGGTTTACAATAGTTGGTAAAGCCCCATAAAGTTGGTTGTTTCCCAAAGCTCAAGTGGAGTATTTCTGTGTAGCAGTCGACAACTTTAGCTTTACAGTTGGACATCTGTCTTCATGTTTTACTTTGCCATTTATGAGAACTGGATCTGTATTTCCAGGAGCCACTTTGTAAAGGTGTTTTATCTCAATATATTAAAAAACACAAACTAGCATTTAGGAAGCAGTCAGTAACTATTAGGTGTTACTGTTCAGAGGAAACACAGCAGCCTTTAGAGATAAACAGTCCATTGTACTAATATTGTAAGACTCAAAGTCTCACTTCCACTCCACGGAGCGTGAACAGCCGAAAAGGCCTCCACAATGCTTGGTCCTAAAACCCAGTGAAGCTCCAGGAGCTTGACAGAGGAACGAGAGTCACCTAGGAAGGAACACTGCAGGCTAGATGGTAAACAGACCTTTATTAGTCTGGCCAGACGGCGCTCTCAGAACCAAGTAGCTCAGAGGCGCCAGCTCAGGGTCTGAGGTCCTTTTTATAGGGTGGTAAAAAGGGGGGTTAACATTTTAAGCTTGCAGGCAGGGGACAAAGTCTGCTGATTTGAGCTGGTGGTCACCAGTCATGTTCTCGGCAGTCACACATTGATGATTAACAGATACCTATAGGATGGTTCAAAGGCCACCAAGACATTCCGGATGAGCAAACAGTTCGACAATTAACTTGGGGTCTCTATGTGTCTCATCGTCTAGAACCACTAACTTACACGTTAATCAGGATCCAGACTTCAAACAGTACAAGACTGCCTTACATTCCTAAGCCAGGGTTTCAACAAAGATCGGGGCTATGGCTATAATGGGAGGGGGTTAGAGAGAGCACTGTCTCCTTGGCCCTTTGACATTCAGCATGGGCTTGTAATTCAGGTCTTACAATATCTGTTAAAATTTTTTATTTTTGTCTTCAGCATCTAGTATTAACAGAATTTAACCTTAAACAATTTTGTTTATCTATATGATCCATTTGATCTGTATTGATTTGGGATAGTAGAATATTGTGCTTAACTAAGACACATCAATGTACTAGATACAGACTAAGGCCACTCAGTGGCTTTCATTACTCTTAGGAGAAAATGACCTGAATATCGGTGCTGCAGGATCTGGCTCCTGCCTGAGTCTTCATCCTATCTCTTAGTACTCTTCCCCTTTGTTTCTCCATCCCAGACCTGCTTTCAGGTGCTCCAGTATCTTGTCCCATCTGCCTTACAGCCTTTGCATGTCCACACCTCTCATTCCCATCCACCAAGCACCCAAGCACACACTAGTTAACTCTTGTTCATCTTTCAGATTCCAGTTCAAGTGATACTTCTTCAGGAAGCTTTCCCTGGTCGCTAACTCTGACTGGCAAGTCTCCCCTATTATATGAATTCAGCATCACATTATTTTAAAATCTTTGTGTGGGTGATTGTTCACTCCCCGTCTAGACTGTAAGCATCTTGAGAGCTGGAACTGTGCCTGGCCTATTCCTCTGTTCATGGCACGGTATATCCTATTTTTTGAACAGTAAAGAAAGTCTGCAAATGGAGAGATCTTGTTTGAAATAGGTCAGATGCTTGATGACTGAGTAAAAGGGGTGCAGTGGGAGTTGTGATGCCCTGCCTAGTTCCCCCTTTAAGGCTAGGCACACATCCCTTCAGATGCTGACTGTTTTGGAGTATGATTGCTCTCAGTCAACTCCTCCTCCAAGAGTTTTCCTCTGCAGAGAGCTACCCAAGGTCATGCTCCTCTTGAAAGCAGCTTATGTCTTCTGACTCGTTGGGGGGGGGGATGTGTCTGATCTGTAGCCTCAGCATGGAAGGACGGTGAAGGGCTATCCTGGGCCACTGTCACCACTTCATCAACATCCAACTCTCCTCTACCCTCCACCTGGAATTCCTCATTCCTCACCAGTGCTATTCCTGAGAACAGCCCTCAGTAAACCACCTGCGCACTATGCACGGAGTCTGTTTCTTAGAGAACCCGCTCACAACTGGGCATGATGGAGAGGGAGGAGTCTAAGGTGCTGACAAGTGTTCTTGGACTCAGTGGCACTGTCTCTGCAGACATGGCCCGGGGCAGTTTTCACGGAAGAGGTAGAAACAGATTCCAGTAAGCTGAGTTCATAGGTGTGAGGGGTGAAGAAGAGATGAATGTGACAAATTTACAATTTTCATGAGGGGAAGGGGAGTAAAAAGGAAAGGTAGTGGGCTGGAGATTTAGCTTAGTGGTTCGGCCGCCTGCCTCGTAAGCACAAGGCCTGAGTTCGACCCCTGGTACCAAAAAACAAAACAAAACAAAAAAACAAAAACAAAAAAGGAAAGGTAGATATGGACAGCGAGGAGCATAGAGAACACGAGTATGTTTTGGAGGAGATGGCTGAAGAAGGTCCATTGAGGAAGGAATACAGGGAAGGCCACCAGTGTGACAACTAGTTCTTAATGCAAAATGATTGAGCACACAAGATCAATCTTGAAGAAGAGCTAAATAGTTTCAGGCACCTGAAGTAAACTGATAAAATAGCTGAGATTTATTATGCTCTTTAAAGCATTAGAAACTTCATTTAACTCTTAACCAATCCACCAGAGGTACGGCCCCTCTGCCCCTGGGAGCCCTGCCCAGGCCCAGGTACTCAGGACAGCGCTCTCCTCGGGTCGGGCGGGGTAGAGGGGCATGGCTTCCAGGACAGTGCGGCTCCAGAAACCACCCATAACCATCTCGAAACCGGCCTCCCGGTTTCCCAAAGGGAAGATTTCCCCGCAGGGTTACAGGAACTTTGAGGGCGTAAAAAGCGTTGATGTAACGCATGCGCACTGTAGAGCAATAGTAAACCGGCTCCACTGCGCAGGCGCCGGGCCTCAGAGCTGGGCGTTTCTTCCGGGTCAGCTACTCCAGGCGGAGCTGTACCGCAGCGGGTCTGATTAAGTAAGCCCTTTGTTTTCTAGGAATTCGTGCTAATAAGTCTACCAATAGGAAATTAGTGACAATATATTTATGTACATATGATGAACTTTGCAGCTCCACCCTAGCGAACGATAAGTTTAAATTATTTCCTTGTCTTCTCTTTATGGTTGAAATACGAATGTTCTCTCTTGGAACTGTTTTTGTTGTTGGCAACTAAGCTGTTAAAGCTTTGCAGTTGCTGGCCGGTCAGATTAAATGTAGGAAAAAGTTGTCCTAAGAATGACAGATGGGCATTTTCTCTGGACCACTGTAGAGCGGAGTAGACCTCAGCACAGGGGATGTGCTGTTCTGTAAGTCGCAGCAGTTGCGGGTGGGGATGTGTGGGGCCTATTGAAAGAGAAGTACTGCCATGGAACCTCTGAAAGTGCTCCACAAGAAAGAGTCGATCCTTGGGCAGTTGCCACACCTGGGAGACGCCACCATTCTCCCAGTTTCCCAAGTGGGAATCAGCAATCCATTCTGTCCTCCTAGGGTCCTGTGAAGTCCCCCTTTGCTAAATCATGTCAGAAGAGGCTTGTTTACAGCATGGCAGTAGGAAGCTAAGAGATCAAGGGAGGAGAAAAGGAGATAGATCTTTCGAGGCCACGCCCCCAGTGACCCACCTCCTCAGACCAGGCTCTACTTCCCAGCCTCACATTTAGCCATGATGTCATCAGTGGACTAATTCACTGACAAGTGTCATGCCCCCATGATCTGATCACCTTTCCAAAATCCCACCTATGATAGCATGAAGCTTTGCGGGGGGACATCTAAATATAAACCATAATAATGACCTTGGCTGGAGCTTTAGCAAAACTGTCCAGAAAAAAAGCCTCACCACCTTCCTTCCTTTTAAAAAAGTTTTATCTTCTTTATGAGCAGGAAGGTTCAGGAAATTGTTAACCAAGTTTTACTTTGCAAATCCACCATGATGGTCTGTTTTACCACGCTACTCATTTTGATATATCAATTCTCAATTCCAAAACAAAGTTTTAATTTGTTGCTGCAGTATCATGGAATAAAGGAGCTTGCACAATTTTATCTCAGAAACCAAGGCTACCCCTACATTCAGACTTGTCCAGATCTTAGTTGCATCAAACAAGCAGAGTTCAATTCTAGGTCATTCTTAGCATACTTCCTATAGAAGCCATTTAAATCCAGAGAGATGAATTCAAAAGGGTGCCAACACAAGGAAGCCTTCTTTTCCATCTCAGGGATATCCTTTACCTTCTTAAATCCAGATAATAAAAAGTTGTCTTAGTTACTTTTCTCTTGTTGCTGAGATAAAATACCTGGTACCAAAAGTTAAAGGGGGAAGGTTTATGTAGCTCATATTTTGTAGAGATTTCAGATTGTAATAGTCTGGCTCCAAAGCAAGGTGATGGCAGACAGACTTTGCAGAGGAGAAACAGTTCATAGCAGGCAGAAAGTAGCAAAACAAGGAATGAACACAGCTGTTTCTATCCCTTGGATCTTATCCAGGCTACTTAGAGTGGGTAGCACTCACACCCGTAATCCTAGCTTTGCACCACGAATCAATCCTAGTGTCACACATTCTAGATCCAGCCATCCCTGAAAAAGCCTCACTTAATGACTATGAGTCTTTGGGGGGACATGTAGACATAAGCCATAACAAAGGTCCTCCAGTTACTTTCAGACCCCAAAATGATCTTGAGTTATTAAAATTCCAGTCTGATATCATAATCATATAACAATTTTCTTGTCTTGTTGAAAGCTTCACTCAGTGAAGACATTCAATGCAAAACAAAACAAAACAAAAAACCCATGCAGAGTTTATTTAAAAAGCAGCAGTCACCTGCTCTCCTTCCTCCCTCCACCACAGTTTGACTCCCTGGGAGGGTATTTTAAAAGCTTGTTTTTGTGATTAAGTAGTAAATTATAGTTGTTGACAAGTTTCTTCAACCCTGAAGCTCTCAAGTTCTGCCACCTGGTCATGTTAATATTTTGGCGAAATAAGAGATGTCTCTTTATTGGAGATGTGCTGTGGCATTCTCCCTCAACCTGGACTCTCCCCTCTGAGGATCTTGAGGTCTTCAGTGGAAGGCTAGGCTTGCTGGTGTTAAACAAAAAGCCTTTCATGTAAAAGCTTATTAAAAATGGGAGTGATGATTTATCATAACCCATGCTTTTCTCTAGTAATTTTTCAGACCCAAAGCCCTGCCCTTGCACACCTAGTTGTGATAATGTTTGCCTGGATTGGGTGTCACTTTTATTGCACCTGATGTTCTTGTTAAACCTGACAAGTCCAACTCTCAAAGTAATCTTACACCTGTGCATCTGGTATACCAAGAATTGCCCCATTACAGCTGGTGCTGTCCATCTCTTGTCTTGGGCTTGTGACAGCTATCCCTCCTTGCTCTCTTAGCCATGCCTTCTGAGGCAGCTCTTCTGCAAGCCCAGTGAGCACAGGAAGATAAACCCAGATATTTGGTGTCCTAGTCCAGGGTGCACTTGTCATGTTATTTCTTCTAGTAGCTCTAGGTCACTGCCATTTCTGCCTCCCTCTCTTAGCTTATTTAAGCATCTTCTAACTGATCTATTTGTATCTACTCTTGCTAACCTAGAGAGCTCTCCACATAGAACTGAATGTGTGGTAGTTAAAAATTTATGGCTTTATACCTTTAAATCTGCATTGCTCGCTCAACTGGACCTTTGAAATACTTTTCCTTGGCCAGCCAGCATGTTGTTAGTTGAGGGCACTGGCATGATGTTAGAAGAGGAAGAACTTTTTTCTCCTAGTTGGAGTGCATGGCTGAGCTATTCCCTGCAGTTTACCTGGCTTCCTCAGTGTCTTCTTCATTTTGGGCACCAGGCTGCTGAGCCCTCAGTAGCCACAAATTTTCTGTGTATTCCTTCAAGGGCAGTGTGCTAACAGTATCTCTAGAGAGTTACCTCCTTTTGAGGGTCCTTTCCTGGTGCCCTAGAGGAAGCATTTTCAGTAAATTCTATCACTGAGACGAGTCAGGCATCCACTGAGCCATGGCTATGCCTTCTTTAGCCACATAAGATCTCAGATGTGGGATCAGGAGGCTCCTCCTTGGATGGTGGCTGTTCCTTCTATCTGTTATATCTCTCCATAGTTTTCTTCCTTTTATGTCATTTTCTTTATTTCTTATGGGGTCATCCCTAAACTCTCCCTCAGTTTCCTCCAGGCATGAGCTTTTATAGTCACTATTCCTCATTGTCCCTCAGTTTTCACCTGAGACCTTTACTCACCTCAAGCCTCAGTTTAATCACCTTTCTTAGGGACACTTTCTCTTGGCTGTGTTGAATGGCTTTTATTCACTTCTGAGCATATTGTATAACTCTTTCAGACTGTTTTTCATGTTTGCAATTTTGCATATGTTTCCATATTTTGGGGGATCTATGTCCAACTCCTCTATTACACATTCTAAACTCCTTGAGGGCATGGGACTGTAGTTTTCTTGGCTGTCTGTGTAGTACCAGAGCCCAGCACCTGTTACAAAGGATGCAGGCATTCCTGGCTCATTCGGATGTCTTGACCTCACAGCATTCTAGTCCATTCTCCTATTTGCCACAAGGTGGCAGGCTCGTATTCTGGTTCTTGATTTCCTTTGAGAAAGAAGCAGGGCTTCAGGTTGAAATGCCTTTGAGCCAGAAGAGCATCCCTTTGAAGTGAGGGAGTCATGTTACAGCAAATTTCTCTGAAAATGGCCTCTGCATCTTCCCTTCACTGACTCTGAGGCTCTGTCTGGAATACTAAAAAGCAAGACAAAGGGAGAGTCTCTCTGGTGAGCCCAGAGGGCTATTATATTATTTAGAAATCAGTTTTAGGGAGAGCACAGGAGCCCTGAGCTTTGATTTACATGAAAAAATAACGTGTAGAGTATTCACTGCTTCTCTTTTTGGCTTTATTTTGTATTAACTATGGTACTTGGGGCCATATCTGGCTGTCTACTAAGTTTTGTAAATAAAGTTTAATTGGAACACAGGCATGGATGGCTGTTTGTTCCTATATCTTCAGTTTTTTTAACAACCACAAGTAGTTGTGACAGAGTCGATGTAGTTTGCACAGAAATATTTACTATATGACCCTTTGCAGACACAGTTTAGGAATATCTAATTTATATGGATGTATGCTTTGTAGAAGTCTTTATCTGGTTAGCATTGAGATGGGGTTTTTTTTTGGGGGGGGTTGAGACAGGGTCTCACTATGTACTTGAGACTGACCTGGAACTCACTGTGTAGTCCAAGCTGGTCTCGAACTCACAGCGATCCTCCTGCCTCAGCCTCCTGAGTACTGGGATTACAGGCATGCGCCACCACGCCTGGCCTAGATGGATTTTCATAAAAAGTGATTTGACCTTTTTAGGGGAAAGGCCTGATTTTTTTTTTTTGGTACCAAGGATCAAACTCTGGTTCTTGAGCTTGTGAGGCTTGCAGCAGAACCGCTGAGCTAAATCCCTGGCCTGGCTTGATTTCTTTCTAAGAAGCTCTGTAGACTTCTCAAACACAAACCGTTAGGGCAAAGAGAGCTTGCAGTGAAGTATTTCAGTTCCTGAACAAAAACAACTTCCAACCCAGATTGATGTACCCTGCAAAACTATCTTCCAAAATCAGTGGAGAAATAAGATACTTCCATGACAAAGACCAACTGAATAAATTCGTAGCCACCAAACCAGTTCTTAAAATGTTCTGAAAGATATTTTAGAAAGAGGTAATAAAGACCACAATTCCACAGACACCAACTGAAAGAAGTCACCTGGTGTTATAGTTTGGGACTAGGTGTCTCTCCAAAGCCTTATGTGGTCATAGGTGGGTGAATCTAGAGTGTGTGATGCTAGGATTAAGGGTGTGTGATTACTACAGCACTGCATGTGAGTGATTAGTTTGGCACTGCCCTAATTTTGGTAGTCTCAATAAGATAAAAGGAGCAGAAAGACACTGTTAGGGTCCCTTATTACCTTTGTTACTGTGTGTGCACCAAGGTGTTTCTCCTC